ATATACCTAACCCTAACCTAACCTAACCCTAACCCTAACCCTAACACTAACCAACACTTACCCAAAACCTACCGTTCGTAGACTTATGGACCTGAAACCTAGCCTTCCCAAACCGAATATCCAAATCCCCAGTTAGGCTAATCTCTTAGAAGGGAACAAAACAAAACCAACAGGATAATCCTTTTCTCAATCTCCCTACTTCCTGGTCCTCCACATTCTCAGCCCAACGCCCAAATAGGCTATTCTCCTGGAAAGGAGATGGATCAATGCTTTCCTGGTATAGTCTAACAGGCGTAGGCCCGTGCACGCATCCTCAGTCTCCTTACTCCAAACCTTCCTAGACGGGTGCTAGGTCGGGGGGAGCTGTTGTAGTTTTTCAAAACCTAACCCTACCATCGACTCAACCCAGTAAAGAGACTGATATAAATAGTTATAAACCTCTTCATATAAAGATTCCAAGTTAGTCTCAAGAGGAGGACTCATCTAAGGAACAAATTTCCAGAAGAATATTGAAAAACAGAAAAGCAGCACTGTTAAAACCTCACTGGGAAGAGAAAGTGACTTTTTTTTTACAAAAGTAAATAATAATAACATAATAACAAAAGTTACATGTAAATGATCCAATCATGAGGTGATTAAAGCAGTCAGTCAGTCAATTAGTCTCAATCGCATGAAACTCAAAAGTACTTACTGAAGAGTAAAGCTGGTGGAGAACAGAGTGTTGATGTGTCCTCTTGTCAAATATACATCTCAGTCAACTAAAGATACGCAAAGCAGCTACAGCTGGAAACAGAGGGTGAGGAGCAGAAAGACATATGCAGGTAAGAAATTACCTCCACCACAAGGCTTTTTGGGAACACTGCTCAACCCAGAAAACAGACAAATACACACAATGTTGTTAAGAATCACAGGACAACTCACCTCAGCATCTGTTGATTTTCCAGGTGAAAATCCATTCCAATTCCAAATTCCGGGTTGAACTGAAACATGGTGAGTTAACTGTAAATCAGATCCATCTGAGAGTTAAAGGGAGCCATTTAATGTAAAAAGAAAAAACTTGTAGCATGTGACTTATCAAGATGGACGTCAAAGTCAATGAGTGGCTTCTACGAGTATAAAAAAAAAAAAGCAGCACACTGAGCGGCTTTTGGTTGAGAGCTGGGTTCTCTCTTGGTTGAGAATCCAGGTCTCAGGTCGAGCCCAACATGAACAGCTTGTGCCTACAGCTGGAACGAAGTTAGCTTTGGGACTGACAGACAGGATAGTGCAACACAATATTTAGGAAATATATATAGTAGAAAAGTAGAAATACCAAAGTAGTTTCAACAGACAGAATCCGGATGCACAGCAAACATGGAGAACGTAATACAATCACAAGAGGTAAACTGACATTAACAAGCAGTTATCAGTGCAGCCATGAATCAACCATTCCTACAACCATAGGTGGAAATCCCAGGGGGGGTCGGGGGGGACAGGACCCCCCCAACTGAGGGTTGTCCCCCCTAAAAATGTGATTAAAAACAGTCTGTGTATTGTAAATAACAATGTTTTATACTTTAAATAATTGTGTAAGTAGTAAAACACCACAAACGGGGAAAAATGCGTTTTGAGTTTAGAAACATTTTGAGTCTCCCCTCCCTTGCCTCACAATGCTTTGGTCCGACTCCAAATGCCTGCTTTTCCTCTTTTACGTCACCTACACACACGAGTCCGGTGAGAGAGAACAAAGTCAATAGTTGTGGAACTCCAAGGCGGTCAAGGCTATTTTATTCACTTAAACATTGGATGAAGTGATTTTATTTTTATTTTGATTATTACAGATGATGCCAATGTATTTTTCAATGAGTCGCTATGTTAGCAATGATAACGTTACCTGCTTGACAAAAAGGGTTGCCAGTTTTTTTTTGTTTTTTGACAACAAAACCCTCCCAATTGCTACCCAAGACTAGCCTAAACTAACCGCGTTTCGAGGGGTCCCCCGGTAAAAAAAAATAAATAAAAATAATAATAATAATAATTCGCATTCCGAGGGCTAAAATACACGTTATTGGGGTTGCTTCAACCCGCGGACATGAAAAACATCCTGTGGCAACAGTGATAAAGTAGCCCAATTCCACGGGAAAACCACAGACCTGGCAACACCGTGACAATACAACGGACACGAGCACTGTCTCGGCGCAACCACAACAGCTTGACGTTGTCTGATTTGGCACGGGTCTCCCTGCTGCACTAATAGTAGTAAGGCTTTCCACTGTGTATACATATCCTTATAAGTACAATTTTAGCTGTATTATTTGTCCCCTTCAAAAATCGCTCTTGAGAAATTGTATGTTTATTGTCCCTTTGTAAAAGCTTTAGATGCATATACTTATTGTAATCACAAGTCCAATGTTACACTTTCAAGAATTTAAACTTTATAAAACCTGTGAGAAACCAGCTAAATAGAAAAGACAAAGGAAACTTTTAAAGAATAGCAAAACATTGGCACAGAGATTGTAAAACCCCCTTAATACTACTTGAGCTTTAACCATCCAATTAAAGTGGATAAAAACAAAATCAACATTTTAAATGCACGGAAATTGGCTAAATAACTCGTTTGTATTTTGACACTAAACCCCAATCTAATAATGATAAATAAAATTACTTTAAATAACCAATGTTTTTCCTTTGATTCCAGAATTCAGGGACTTACACTTTAAAACTGCTGACAATGACATTTTAAACAATTACTGCACACAGTCACTCTATAGAATAACTTGCATCAAAACACCTTTAAATCAGATTCATTTTATACAATTTGAACAACATTGATGTTGAATAAAGGGTTTAACAAATTGATCTTTAGTCAGATTAAAGTGCCCATATTATGGATTATACCCTCACAGTGCAGAGCACAGCGTCTTCAATATTCAAAACAATTAAATATGTACTCCAATAACTCACCACTTCTTACCTTAAACATAATAAACCTTAATAAATAAACTCTGTAAGAGTTTGAGAATGTTTATCTGAATGTTACTCACCCATTTCCAGCAACTACAAAGCATCTGAGAAAGCGATCACTAATCCTCCGACCGTTTGTGAAGATAATAAAACAAGTTAATTCAGAATGTTACAGCATCAAGTCTTAACGGCAAAAGTAAAGAAAATAAAATTGCACAAGTGATAAACTAAAGAAACACGAGTATTGAAAAACATACATTCAAAATATTTACTAAAACTATTCGGTTCCTCTCCTCTGAGGCGGTTTCTCTTGACGCAACTCTCAACATCTGGGTCACACAGTCAAACTGCGCACGCTCTGAGTCCCGCCTCCAACTGCGACCATTAAAATGCCTCCTGATTGGTCCCCTAGTAAAAATTGCATTCAGGGGGTAAAATACAAATTTTATTGGCGGGGTTCTCCAGGTACAAATTCACATTCCAGGGCCTAAATATCACGTTATTGGGGTCGCTTCAACCTGCTGACATAAGGGGGGTAAAATACAAATTTTATTGGCGGGGTTCTCCAGGTACAATTCACATTCCAGGGCCTAAATATCACGTTATTGGGGTCGCTTCAACCTGCTGACATAAAAAACAACCGGCGGCAATCGCGGATTTGGCAACACTGGTCCGTAAACTACGTTTCATATAATCCCCTCCCCGAACTTCCCGCTGCCCTGTATCTTGATCTCTCATTGGCTGTAGGTCATCGCCGATGTGTTTTTCAGTCAGAACTCATTTCACACAGCGGGATTGAATCGCCGACAGCTCCAGATATTTAGCATGCCAAATATTTCGCGGGCGTCGGCGACGCATCGGCGATTCCCTCAGATCGCGTCTTTGATAATTCACACTGCGTGATTGTCACTCGCGTGAACGAGCACAGATTTTCCTCCGATTTCGGGCATTTGTCTGTGATTTCGCAAAACTTGTGGGCGAGTGAAAAATCGGGCTAAAATCATGCAGTGTGAACTCCGCATTAGTTCAGTTCATGGATCTCTCTCCTAACAAGCTGATGATCTGAATCAGGCGTTTTAAATAAGTCCCCAGGACTGGAATTGAGAACCAGTGTTCTGTTGGTTAGATGTTTCAGTATCGTTAAAAACATAAATATACAGGCATGGTAATTTCATTTAAAAAATAAAGAACATTAGAAAAATAAATAACATTTTTACAAAACTCAATATTTTCAATCTTCAGCAGATTATTCTCTCACCAACTTCCATCTCAGTCTGACAATCCTGTTTAAGCGCAGCTGGTGGCCATTTATACTCATGGGCACAACCATTATAAGATTATAAGTGGTACAAGCAACCGGGAATCAAATTCACCAAACAAACAAATGATTATAAAGATTATAAACTTTTTGTACATGTTCTAATACACAAATTACTGTTATTTATCAGTTGTGTATAGATATTTCACCATTGTACAGCCATTCAACTTTAAAATAAAAACATTTCCCTTCATTTGGTCTCTCCCATCTCTCATGAGGCACCACAGCACAGATATAAAAGTTGATTAGAGGAGTTTCTCTGGTCTCCCTATCACATTGCTTGTAATGTTCCACAATTGTGAGTCACTTTATATAAAATCATCTTCTGCATAGTTAGTGCATTTAGAGTAGAATAAAACATTCCCCATGTTTTTCCAAATCTGTATGACTTGAGTGATGGCAGAAACAAACCTTTTCGAAACTTTGAATCAGTTGAATCAACTGCTTCAAAAAATGATTCACTGTTTCGAAGCGCTCAAAACAAACATTGCCTGCTGGTCAAAACTGTGTAAATGCAATAAAAACTCAGGCCAAACATGCACAAAAACATTTTACAAATAACATTTTATAAACCCATTAGTGATGCAAAGTCTGATTCATTTCTGCGAACCGGTTCTTTTAGGACAGATCGGCTCATTGAACCGGTTCAAAAAGCCGATTCATTGGTTTCTGACATCATCAAGCAATAACATCTCTATGCATTTCTTTTCTAACAACTCAATGTTGTATCAATTAAAAATTAAAATAAGTAATTTGTGTCAACACATATTGAAACATTCAAAAAAGAAAGTTATTTGTGTGAAAGCATATTGCTGATTATTGCCATATAATTCACTTAAGTTAATAGTGTTTGTGGTCACAGTTTCATGCGCGGATCCTTTATGTCAGATACAACTGACTGACCAATTTTGACTAGCCTACAACTTGGATAAGATTCCTAAATGTTTCACACCTACAGCACACATTACAGAAATGTATGCACAAACGTGGATATGTTCTACATGTCTACAGCATAAAGAATGAATAAACTAGTCTTATAAACTCCTTGATTTCGCTTAAGCAACTTTAAATATAATATGCATGCACAATAAACTATTGTAAAATTTATTTACATCACTCGACAGAAAGGCTTTTGCAGGTTTTAATAAAATGTAAATGAATAACAGTCATAATAAGCATTTTTCCAGTAGGCGCCTCAGGCTTGCACAGTATCGTCAATTCACTCATCAGAATCTTTGGTAATCCTCGGCAAACTTTGCCACGGCTCATTCGGTTCTTGTTGAGTCCTCGGTAATCCTCGGCAAACTTCGACAGTTGGTTGAACCAGCTCAATCGGTTCTTTTTGTGTTGGACGTGCTACTTCGGCTGTGCGTCCTGCATCATCAACCCGAAACTAAAGTTCGATTACGTTCGATTTGTAAACCAGCTCGACCGGTTACTTCCTGAGAACCGGTTCAAAGAATGATTCGTTCAAGAACCGAACATCACTAAAACCCATTGCAATGTTTTATTGGAAGTATTACACATAATGAACCCATCTCAATGAACTCATGATTCACAGGTTCACAGAGATCACCCCCAACTGCAAACCATTGAAATTTCAAAACGTTTCGAAGCAGTTATTACTTAACGAAGCCTCGTTTACTGAAATCAAGTGACTTTGGCAGTTTGATATGCGCTCTGAACCACTGTTTCAAAACAAATGATTCGCAAAGGTTTCAAAGCAGTGGGACAAAGCACAAAGCAGTGCTTCAAAAATGCCCATTACTAGTATAACTCCCTTTCTTCAGAGATTTTAGGCAGAATGTTTCATTATATGCAGGAAAGATGAGGAATTTAGTAGACCAGCGATTCTCAATTCCAGTCCCCGCTCTGCACGTTTTGTATGTCTCTCTTATGTGACACACTTAGTTCAGTTCATGGATCTCTCTGCTAACAAACTGATGATCTGTATCAGGTGAGTTAAATAAAAGAGACATGCAAAATGTGCAAAGCAGGGGGTCCCCAGGACTGGAAATGAGAACCAGTGCTCTAGACATGTGAAGTGACTGTGGAGAATAGCTTCTTCTTAGTAACAAAAGGGGGTATATATGCTTAGGAGAGAGGTGAGTGTAACCAGACTCGGGGAAAAAAAACATGTAACCTAATTTTTATGTATTTGTTCACATAAATATATGTGTGTTCAGTGACTTCTGGCCTGCAGTTAATAAACATTCATGCATACAAAACCTTGTCATGCCTGGTCTCATTCTTGAGTCCATGGTGGTGATAGTGGCTGCTTGGAAAGACACTTTAAGTCAGACAGAATGCAAAATTTAACCTAAATGGTGCATTCCTGCCACCTACTGGATTGGAGTGTGGAGTGCAAAATTGTTCGGAAGGTGGGATCATGAGTAGTTTCTTGTTGCCCAAACAGAAAAACATGGTGATAGGGAAGCCATAGTCATGGGTTCAAATCCCAGGGAAACATGAACTGATAAAAATATATACCTTAAAGGGATAGTTAACCCAAAAATTCAAATTACCCCATGATTTACTCACCCTCAAGCCATTCTAGGTGTATATGACTTTCTACCTTCAGACGAATACAAGTTATATTTTAAAATGTCCTGGCTCTTCCCAGTTTTATAATGGCAGTGAATGGGGGTTGAGATTCATCCATCCATAGTAAAAATGTCCCGGATCTTACGCTACGCCTACGTCATCCAGCTGGAACGCCACTCTCTCATGAATGCATATACAACAAATAGCGGAAGCTAGAGATTATGGTTTATAAAGTTTTAATTATGGTTAATTTTCTTACAAAAATGCATCAATTCACTTCAGGAGGCCTTAATTAACCTCCCAGACCTGTGTGGAGCACTTTTTTATGATGGGCAGAGTTTATTGGACTTGTATTCGTCTATTGAATCTCAACCCCCATTCACTCCCATTATAAAGCTTGGAAGAGCCAGGACATTTTTTAATATAACTCTGTATTTGTCTGAAAGAAGAAAGTCATAACACCTAGGATGGCTTGAGGGTGAGTAAAACATGAGGTCGTTTTTATTTTTGGGTGAACTATCCCTTTAAATTTAAAAGTCATTTCCCAGCATCTGGCAAAATAATAAATTGAATGTTGTTACCAGTATTAATTCTATTAAGTCTGTTTTGTTATTGATTAATGTGATTAATTTTAACTCAGTTTTGGTCTTTTAAAATGTTTTATAATCAAAACAAGGGTAGTTCTACGCGTGTTCGAACGAGCCGTTTTAGGTAGGCGTGGTTGACTCTTAACTTTTATAAAGAATATCTCTTTGGATTTGAGACTTTAGTCTTTGCAACTTTACTGATCTTCTTTATGCACCAAGAGCTTGTAACACTCCAAAGAGAAAGGAAAATTTTAAATCGCATCATATGACCCCTTTAAATTCAAAGAAATATTCAACAGCAACAGTAAACATTCAATAGCAAATACATTCAAATATAAAAAAAATGTTATTCAAGAATGACTCAAACTAACATTCCTCATGATTGAAGGAACAGCTGACCACGGACTACAAACAAATCAGAAGAAAACAATATAAACAATATGCACAGTAGTGTATTGTTAAAATATCTCCAGGGTCAGTCAATCAAGTTCAGTTATCGGTCAGGAAAATAATCTTAATCAACAAAATGTTGTCATTATACTATTCTCCGCAAGATTTACTATGCTGCAAGCAAGTTCAGGCTAACTCAAAAACTTGCGTACATGAGCTGAGACTTGACATGAAATTTGATCGTAGCCACAGATCACGCCCATATTGATAAATTCCAAGTTTTGTGTATGTAACACTATAACATGTTAACGCTATATAACACAATAACATATTACACCAAACAGATGTCTATATGAGACTAGGTTTGAGTCTTAGGAGCAAAGAAATGAATTTTGGGCCAATTGGGATGAAATCAATAAACAGCCGGCACATTTATTACACACAGAAATTAAATGAACAAATACTAAAAGAAGGAAATGAATGTATAGATGTCTGAACACAACAATGTCAATAATTTAAGGACAATTCAATGTTGAGTTCAGGTTATTCAATAATGAATCCAAAAAAAAAAAAAGGAATAAAATGTCCAAAAGCCATCCTGGGTCCTTTGTTATCCGTGTGTTTAATATAAAATGAATGTAAAATGTTAAGGCCTTTTTTTTTCTTTACTACCCGGGTAGTGTATGTGTAAGAAATAGCAGCATAGCTGTAGTTGAAAAGAATCCTTCCAAAGAATCATGTCCAGGTTGTCACGATTTGCTGCCGGAAGGAACGCAGGAGACGCGGAGAAGCGTTAAACAGTCTTTTAATGAACAAACACAGGGGAAAATCCACAACAGGAACAAGGAATGACACATGAACATAACTTGCAGACCCGACAAACACTAACTGAACGGACTGGGGCTTATAAACACAGGATAACAAGGGACTAATCGAGGGGACTAAGGAGACACACCTGGAATCAAATTAACACAATCAACAAGAGGGAGAAACTGGGTCACGGGGAGCAAAACACACAGAAACAGTCCAGAATCCTGATATTACGCCCCCTCCCAGAAGGCGCGTCTTCGCGCCGTAGAACCAACATGGGGAGGGTCGGGTGGGAACTAGGAAGGAGGCTCCGGAGGAGGACGGACACCCGGGAGGGGGCCGGTAGACAGAGTCCAGGGGGGTAATGCAGGAGGAAGGAGCCAAGGAGGAGACAAGAGGGGTTTGGAGTGGAGGGTGGATGGTGGAGGAAGGTCTGATGACTCCAGGGGGCCGAGCAATGGCGGCGGAGCAGGTGGCGGAGGACCCCGAGGCAGAGACGGAGAGCCGATGCGCCTCTCTCTGAACTCTGTTATATCCTCTCAATTACCTTTACCTGCCAGTTTTACTTCAAA